CTAGGAAAATTTGGTATGTCCTTTTGGTATCACTGTGAAATCTTTGAGAAATTACCCATTTATAATTGTGCAGCAGAGGTAAAAGAATATGTTTTGGTGCTATATACTATTTTATTGGAATATTATGCCAAAAATCAATATTTGATTCATTATACTTTCAAATAATTAGAACACATCTGAATTAAAACTTGCATTTTGTTAAATATAAGATAACATTGTGATAATTTTTAGATTTTTTTTTTTTTTGAGGACAGTGTAACTGGCCCTCATATGTGGGATCCGAACCGGGGCCCTCTGGTATCCCAAGCCAGTTCTTAACCATCGCACCACTCGGCTGGCCCTAGATTTTTTTTTTTTAGTTTTAGTTTTTGTTATTACTTTCAGGTGTACAAAACAACATGATGATTAGACATTTACACCCCTCACAAAATGACAACCCCAACAAGTCTACTACCCATCTGACACCATACATAGCTATTATAATATCATTGACTATATTCCCTATGCTGTACTTTACTAGATTTTTTAAAACATAAAGTCCCAATTAACACACACACACACACACACACACACACACACACTATTTAGTTTGATTCCATTATAAGTGATTTTACCATAAACAATACTTATCTGATACTAAATATCCTAGTATAGGAAAGAATCCTACTCACATGTAATACATGACAAATGCAACATGTATTCAGTTCTATATCTAAATAATCTCAATGTTATTCTTTCAGTACTTAAATAAAGCAATTTAAATTGGGCTCTTATTGCCTACCTACTTAATACTAAGAAACAATGTGGAAATTAAACTTCGGGATCCAAATGCCAGCTCCACCTCTTACTAGCTTTGTAAACTTGAGCTGGTCACATAAGCACTCTGTGACTGTTTTATCACCCATCAAATGTGGAAAGCTTTTCATACCTCGCCAGTGGGGGTATTATGGAGACCATATAAACTATCGCACTTCAAAGCATCCTTTCTGCAAACTGGATATGCATGGAGTACATTCCTATAATATCCATATGATTCATTCAAGTACGATCACAGATTTAATGTCTTAAGGTCTCTTGAACATTCATACTTCCTTTTTTGAGGAAGAATGATCTTTTCAAGAGATGAAATATATGTCATCTTATTAGTTGGCGAAGAATGTCTCCTTGGTATCTGAAGAATTGAATAGTCATGAGAAACTGTACTAATACTAATGAAAAAACTTAGTTGTTTTGGTTATCAACAGTTTAAAGTATTATTGTTGATGAAACATGGAACTTCAGAGGCTCACACTGTTGTGCTTGGGCTTTTTGTTTCCAAATGAATTGAGTTTCCATACTGTCCTTTACTATTTGTTTTTAAAAGCTCTTACCATGCTGGTCATCTTTGCTTCTGTTTCTGCCCTTCAAAAGCCTTTCTATAATCTGCCCTTCAGATTATAGAGAACCAAGGCTTCACTCTGCAAGACTATCTCTGAACTTGGCCTAGAAATACTTAATAATAGACAGCAGAAGAGTTAGAAACTTACACATGTGGAAATGGATGGAGTGCGTATTTTTGTCTTTAATTAAAGTTCTATGTGGAACAGAGTTTACTGTTGATAATNAAAAAATATACCTTTTAACATCAAAGCAGAATTCTCAGTTATCTTACTGCCTTCATCAACATTGTATATTAATTGACTGTTTTCATATCTTTTAAGGAGCAGCCTTTACTGTTCTGATGTTCCATCCATTCATCCCACATCTGAACCCAAAGATTGCAATTTGCAGAGAGATGGTTTTTATGAATGCATATTTCAGCCAATCTTTCTATTTTCTGGCTATACAATGTGGATTAGGATTAATCACTCTTTGGGTTCACTTGATTCTCCCCCAACATGTGTCGTTCCTGATTCTGTGGGTATGTTAAACTGTGTTGTGTGTATTTTTTTTAGTTTTTATTAGCAGATTGAATTTAGGTTGATACAAAGTAACTGCTCTATTTTACATTTTCTAATCACATTGGATTTAAGTTTTTTCCTGTTTATAGTGAAATTAGGAAGACAATCAGCCTTAGAAAGTTTTACAGTTTTGATATTATTTTATATTATTTATAACACCATTTTGTGGCAATAGGAATATTTTCAGCATACTATTTGATGAATTATATTGGTCAATGGGAATGAAATTTAGTAATATTCTGAATAATGCACTACTTTGTGTTTTTCTTTCAATGTATTTATGAAAGCATTTGGTGGGTTTTTTTTGGTGGTGGTTTTTTTTTTTTTTAAATTTTTATTGGGGAAGGGGAACAGTGTTGGGGGATTGGGAAAGGGGAACAGCCACGTTGTTGTCATTCAGTCTTAGTTGTAGAGGGTGCAGCTAGCTCAGCTCCAAGTCCAGTTACCATCTGGCCGCCCATCAGCAGCTCATGGCAGCTCAGCTCAAAGTGCAGTGTTCAAACTTAGTAGTGGGTGGGTGTAGCCCACCATCCCATGCAGGAGTTGAACCAGCAACCTTGTTTTTAGGAGCACATGCTCTCACCAGCTGAGCCATCCTGCCACCTGTTGGCAGCTCAGCTTGGGCTCAGCTCACTGGCCCATGTGGGAATTGAACTGGTCACCCTGTTGCTTAGAGCTTGTGCTCTTAACCAACTGAGCCACTGAACTGGACCCCCGCATTTGGTGTTTTTAATCTAAAAATTTAATTTGGGCATTCTGATGTTTTTTGTAATCTGAGTAAGTAATAATCCAAGGCATTCATTTATGAGGCTATAAAAGAAGCAGATGAATTCAAAATAACTAAATTGATGTGAAGAAGAGAAAACAGACAAATATGA